GAATATAAGATTAGTAACATCCTGGACAAGCCCTTGGAGAGTTCATTTGGTTATGTCAGCGTCTTGCCTGGTGCCTTCTCAGCTTACCGATTCCGCGCAATTATGGGCCGCCCTCTCGAGCAGTATTTCCATGGTGACCACACTCTTTCAAAGCAACTGGGCAAGAAGGGTATCGAGGGAATGAACATTTTCAAGAAGAACATGTTCTTGGCCGAAGATCGTATTCTTTGTTTCGAGTTGGTTGCTAAAGCTGGTTCAAAATGGCACCTGACATATGTCAAGGCCTCCAAGGCTGAAACCGACGTGCCAGAAGGCGCTCCCGAATTCATTTCGCAGCGTCGTCGTTGGCTGAACGGTTCGTTCGCTGCCGGTATTTATTCGCTCATGCACTTTGGTCGGATGTACAAGAGTGGACACAACATCATCCGCATGTTTTTTCTGCACATCCAAATGTTGTACAATATTTTCTCTACGATTCTGACATGGTTTTCCTTGGGTAAGTTAATGTTTATCCTAACAAAGCGCATTCCACCCCCAATTGGACCATGTTCTGACAGATGTTCAAATAGCTTCTTACTGGCTTACTACCACCGTCATCATGGACTTGGTCGGCACCCCGAGCACCAATAACGGTGACAAAGCTTTCCCGTTCGGCAAGACTGCAACTCCCATTATCAATACCATAGTGAAATATGTCTACTTGGGATTCCTACTGTTGCAATTCATCCTCGCGCTGGGTAACCGTCCAAAGGGTTCGAAGTTCTCATACCTCGCGTCTTTCGTGGTTTTCGGCATCATTCAGGTCTACGTGGTTATTGATGCGCTGTACCTGGTGGTGCGTGCCTTCAGTGGAAGTGCTCCTATGGATTTCACCACAGACCAAGGCGTTGGCGAGTTCCTGAAATCGTTCTTTTCGTCCAGCGGTGCCGGTATCATTATCATCGCCCTCGCTGCTACATTCGGTCTCTACTTTGTGGCATCTTTCATGTATCTGGACCCCTGGCACATGTTTACGTCCTTCCCTGCCTACATGTGTGTCCAATCGTCATACATCAATATCCTGAACGTCTACGCTTTCAGCAATTGGCACGACGTCTCGTGGGGTACCAAGGGTTCAGACAAGGCAGACGCTCTACCCTCTGCCAAGACCACCAAGGATGAGGGCAAGGAGGTTGTCATCGAGGAAATCGACAAGCCTCAGGCTGATATCGACAGTCAGTTCGAGGCAACGGTCAAGCGTGCCCTAACACCCTATGTGCCACCAGTCGAGAAGGAAGAGAAGACTTTGGAAGACTCGTACAAGAGCTTCCGAACGAGACTGGTCACGTTTTGGATCTTTAGCAACGCATTCTTGGCCGTTTGCATCACCAGTGACGGTGTGGATAAATTCGGCTTCACGGTATGTAGATGTCGTCAGTCCTTGTTAACAGAGGCGAAACTAACATATTGCAGAATTCTGCTACCGACCGGACGCAGCGTTTCTTCCAGGCTTTGCTGTGGTCCAACGCCGTCGTTGCCCTGTTCCGTTTCATCGGAGCCTGCTGGTTCCTGGGCAAGACAGGTTTGATGTGCTGCTTTGCCCGGCGTTAGAAGGGCGTTCTGTCGTAATGAGAGCGATTAGTGGTGCTTCGCCAACGGGTCTATCGATGGCCAAGCACCTCCTGGCACATTTTCCATCACAATATTGTATTTTACATATGACGCTTGCTTTGTTACCTCCTTTTTCCGTTGAAGTTGGCTCTGTCACGGTTGGATCTATGTGCTTCGACAGGGCCTTATGCACTGTGATGTCTCGTAAACTCTTAGCGATTAGAAAAGGAATTCGATGCATCAATAGCTCAAATAGAGCTGCTAAAGAATGTATGTCTCTTTTGCGTGATTGTTTCTGGTTTGATCGTATGAGCGCTGGACACTCCTGTCTACGAATTTGGGTAGTGGCGATGGCGTCAGGCCGCGGGCACATTGCCTTCTTCGAATATGCCCCAGTGCCACGTCTACCCTTTAGTTTCTATTTTATCTTACTGTTTTCTCATAGTGACTAATTCAATCAGTTCAGTTCTGGTGTTTTATTGACCTTTGATCGCAATCTACGGAGTACGCTCTCACCCTTCACCTTGCGCTTCTGCGGAGTGGAGGTTAGGCCGTTGATTCATTGCCTATTGAAGACCCCCGCAGGCCCGAACTTTAGTGACCCTCCTCATACTTCTCTCTAGTTTTCGTCACGACCACTGCAGATCGGGTGTTATTGCTGCCGAAAAATATCCTTTTTCCCTTTTGCTTTTCGATATTCAGAACTCTTGTCGACAACTTCTAGGGGACGTGTGGCGGTGCTTTGTCCAAGATGTTGAAGATCTGGTCTATGGTACAGTCCCTCTCTTGCCCGCGCGGTCCCTGCGTTCTACTCTTGTATGACTGACAGTTCGGTATTACATGTAGAAACAACAGCAACAGCAGGCTGAAAATGCCGAAGGAGCAGCAGGAAAGAAGAAGAAGAAGGTTACGGCCGCGCAGTTGCGCGTACAGAGAGGTACGGATCGTTCGCATGCGTGATGCTGGGGAGTGGCGCACGACGCAGGAAGCAAGGCTGGCTCGCTGACAGATAGCATGGGAACTAGATCTGCAGGAGTTGACACTCGGAAGCACGATGAAGATGAATTTCCCGAATCCTGACGATATCCTCAACTTTACGCTTACGATCGAGCCCGACGAGGGCATGTACAAGGGTGGCGCGTTCCATTTTAATTTCAGTGTTAACCAGAACTTCCCGCATGACCCGCCTAAAGTGAAGTGCACGCAGAAGATTTACCATCCGAATATTGATCTGGAGGGGAATGTGTGTCTGAATATTCTGCGGGAGGACTGGAAGCCTGTTCTGAACTTGAATGCGGTTATTGTGGGCATGCAGGTGGGTTTGGGACATGGTCGATGTCGTTGTGTGTAGTTTGTCGGACTGACCTTTGGATTTGCGTGCAGTTCCTCTTCCTTGAGCCAAATGCCTCTGATCCTCTGAACAAAGAAGCTGCGGATGATCTGCGGACGAATCGGGAGGGCTTCAAGCGCAACGTTCGCACCGCGATGGCTGGTGGATCCGTCAAAGGGGTGCAGTTCGACCGTGTGATGCGATAGTTGGGTCGGGCCACTAGGTTTCAATTGCAAGGTGTTCCGGTTAAGTAGCGCCATATACAATAACGTCACGAGCCAGCTTCAACCAACAGAAAACATACGGCGGACATGATTTGGTCAAGACCGAGGTGATACGGATACGGACATGGATAGGATATGGATATGGAGATGGGCTGCATGCGATGCAGGCTCATAGGGATCCACGTAATCGTGGAATGGTTTATGCACGTACATAACTTGACTACTTAGCGACTGGATAGATTTGATCATGAAAGAAATGCGCACTTATACGATTCCCACCCATCTTCTTTCGCTGATGTTCTTCTAAAGCATTTAGCTATCTTGCTTTCATTCCTTGTTGTTGAGGAGCGCATGGCATTGGTTGTCGGATCGAGCCTCAAGTCTTGCTTCTTGGATACCATAAACAAGATCGGCGGAAGAGTCTAGCAGCTCTACGGACTGATAGGGTCTTTCCCAAAAGGATACAGAGCCTGGATAAAGGAAACGGCATGTCTGGAGCTACAATCACCGTATATATACAACCAACAGGAATGACTGAGCATTGCGAAATAATCGAACAACTTCTTTCTTTTCCTTTCGAAATCCCGGCGTATCGACCCGTCGTTCAACACATCAAACAGACAAAGTGATGTGACACCATTACCACCAATCCCCGTCGAGCACCTAGCCACTCGATACGAACACTCCTGAGCTAATATGCCTCCATGCGATTGTTGGTCGTCACCAAGACCAATGACCACGGGAATCTTGAAATGGAGCGGATGTGAACGATGCCGTTCTCTATGCTGACTTTGTCTGAAGAATGATTCGAAGCGATAGAGTATCAAGTCTATGCTGCCTGCTGAGCAGCACGCTCCTTCTCGAGACGGGTGTAGTAGGCGTCACGGGCGCGGACGCGGGGAAGGTGGTAGCCTGGTCAATTGTGAGAAAGAATATCCACAAAACAAGCATGGAGGAGTTTCCCCTGCTTGGAATGGTGCGATGATACGTACCGTACCACCAGAGGTAACCGAAGGTGGTGCCGAAACCTGCACGCGAACGGGTACATGGTTAGTCTTTCAGTGCTGGATGCGGTGACTCGAAAATATTATGGAAGGCATGTCTGCTTCGTAAGAGGGAGATAGAGGCCATCCTGGGCACCCCGGAAGCCGGTGGACATTCATGCTCTTCCTTGTATTTCCGATTCACCGAGCTGCTGAACGATATGAAATTGACTCACCGAAAGCGGTGCTCAGGTCGAGAACGAGACCACGGCGGAGCATCTATAATGTAGCGTGTTAGCCAATGTGTTACTCAATCGCTGCCGGGTGGCCGAAGGTAGAGGCACGGATGTAGCGTGGGTGGGATGTAGACGTACGCCGGTGATGGGAGGAATAGCGGCGGCCATTGCGACGGATTGACGAGAATATTCAATTCAGAAAGACCGGTAGATGCGATATCAGCAGACAGGTAACCCTGTTATGAGGTGGTTGGGGACAGGCGGAAGGGGAAGGAAAGGAAAGCGAACGATGATGCGAACTTGAAAGTCGAGGTGAAGCTTTCCGATCCGGCACGTAAGCGACCGATGTGAGTGGCCTGACTGGGCCCTCCGAACAGGCAGGAGGATACCACAGAGATTCGGGCCAAACGCTCACTATTGGCTCACTTGTGCTCCAGAGTGAATGATATAGACGGAATCTATTTTCTGGAGGTAGAAACTGCCCATCTTCCTTTCTTTACTCCATCTTCGTTATTACATTGTGATAGTCGTGCCTCAGGCAGCAGCACGTGACCTGACGCGAAGCTCTTGCGATGTCCGGATACAGACTCTCTCGTCACCTTCTCTGTTGTATCTATCATCATCCACCCACACCGCCATGGTGTCCTCAGAAAACTCTCTCAAGCATTCTTCGTCCACACCTTTAGAGCAGCAGGGGCCTGATACGAAGCGATTAAAGCGTTCATATCACCACCATCACCGTTTGCGAAATCCCGTTATCCCAGCTCTTCCGGAGCCCGCGATCAATGATGACGCCCACGTTGCTCACTTGATGAGTCGCTCTATCGGGCTATGTCTCAGAGAGTCCGGATTTGATCTCGCCGACCCAGCCGCGCTGGAGAGTTTTCGCTATGCTACAGAGGAGTGTATGTTACCTCTTACCCGAAGGACTTGAATAGAGACACGCAGGGGATGTGTCGGCTGTGTTCTTGACTAAGCTGCTTGCTAGACCTTCTAAAGCTCGCATCCTTTGTGCGGCAATCAATGCTCTCGAGCCGGCGCAACCAACCAATACCCCAAGATTTCGAACTCGCGTTCAAAAAACACCATTTGCACGCGGACGATCTGCTTCCGCACTTAAAACCTCTGCCAAATATCGAACCTGTTCCTACACTCCTACCTAGCCCTCCACCAGAAGAGGATGCTTGGTTGAGTTTACCATTTCTCGGCCCTGAACTGAGCGGCGAAAGTGACCGTGTTCGAAGCGCTTATATCCCAAAGCATTTCCCTCAATTTCCCAGTAAACATACATACCGGCACACACCTGTGTTCACACAGCGGGAGCAAGACCCACGGAAAATTCGTGAGCGCGCGACTGAAGAGGGACGACATGGCGAGGAGGCATTGCGCAAGCTGGCGCGGGCATCCTTCAAGGATAATCAACTCGGCTGGGCTGGTCGCGAAAAGAGATTATGGGGTCGGAGGATGGAGAGCTTGGACAGTATGTTTGAAAAAACAGTCAAAGGCATCGCAAAGAAAATGCACAAAGATGTGACTGCGCCGGGGACAGCTGCAACGACGGATATTGATTCTGGAGCGGCTGCGGATCCGGAGCTCAAGGCGACTCGGCCGAAGCTCTCGTTCAGCCTGGAGCTTCCGCCAGTCATCAATTGCGAAAGAGGTCTCTGGCGCCGAACGACGGCACCCAGCAATCGGAAAGCGGAAGAGAAACCAGCCGGAACGAAGGATTCCACAAGTGTTTCGCGAGTGGAAAGCTGGGTGAGCACATAATCGTTCATTTCGCATTGCGGCGGGCGGCGTCAGGGCGTTGTGATTTTGTATTGAGCGAACTCAAGAAGATACCCAATGAGTACAATGCAGAGAAATTATGCGATTCAGTTGATAGAGATGGCAAGGATAGATCCCTGGTATCCGATGGCTGTAGACTTCCGAACTCAACTCCGCCCAAATGCAAGTACTTTTGTATCACGCCTTGGTGGCCTCTCCTGCTGCACGTTTTCGTTTCGCCTCTTCTTCGGCCAGTCTGATGGGCTCCCATGCCGTCGTTTCGACCGTTAATCCACCGGCACACCTTTGTGAAGGGAAAAGTCAACGAGTGATCCAGCAAGTCCTGCAGGAGGAACTTACCGTCTGAATAACCGGACAATGGGTTTACACGTCACAACGCCTGGCTTGGGGATGCCGTCCTGAGGCGGATTACACGAGTACTGCACCATCTCCAGTAACTTGCAATTCTCCAGGTCGACTGGCCCGCCTTTGCGCCGTCGTTCCTGGAAATTTCGATTGACGGTATTGACATGCTCTGGGAGAGATTCGGCGGAGAAGACAGGAACGAGGGGCGCCATTGGAGATCTCGTAGAGTGCGGCTTTGTGTCCCAGTCGAGTAGTTAAGAAAAGCTAAGTTATCCCAATGGATAAATGGTATGCGTGCTTCAATCTGACGGTGCAAGAGGAAAAGTTGATGGAAGCGGAAACCTCCGTCTTTTGGCGATGCAATTAATGAGTCGGGAGCGATGCGGAGGCCGAATGCGTGCCGGGACAACAAATTCCCAGGCAATGATCAATATCACGCCTTCTGTGGTAACGTAAACAAGCTCAATCACAAAATACGATGTCAAAATATCCATGACATCTATTCAGCTCGCCCGAGTAAGGAATGGCGGCCAGCTTCGGGGAGAAATTGCTGAGGGAAGTACGCACGGAACGGCTGGATGAGGTATGTTCTAACATTATAATGAATATCTCGGCATTTTTGCTGCGTATTATGCGCGGACTTGACTTGAGGGTATCCATGCTGAGTTTTACAGCTTCTACATGACCTGAGAAGTCTATTTCCGAGAAGTCCTGGGGAGAGCACCTCACAGTTGGGCGTCAAGCCGCTGGATGCCCTCTTGGAGGTGTTCATGCCTTCCCTCTCTGCTGCTCAGGCTCAGATTCAACAGGTGGGACGAGATACATATCAAGAGCAGCAGAGTGAACATGAGGTGCAGTACATTCAAGCGGATGATGAGGACGACCAGAATGCTTCAGCCGAAGACCGCAGGCTCCCTACGGCATCTCTCGCAAAGCAAATCAGCCCGGTTATAGAGATCTCCAGCGTATCTTCAGCAGCCGGCAAGACTCACTTGCTGTATTATCTCACTGCGGTTGCCGTCCTACCATCGACAGTTAACGGGATTCGAGTCGATGGTCTGGCCTCAGCCGTCGTCTTTATTGATGCAGATGGCCGTTTTGACGCTGAGCGACTTCGGACTGTTGCCTGTGGCCTCATAGACAGAAAGCTCAAGGCGCATTCTGATACAGGGACCAGAGAGTCACCAGAATGGCAGACAGCCCAGCCGCTTTTTGCTACTGAAGAGCTGGAATCCATTATCGCGACCTTTCTACAACACGTCCATGTGTTTCGTCCACAATCATCCGCTTCCCTACTCGCGACATTGGAAAGTCTGCAAGCATACCTGCTCGACATTTCGCGCCATTACTCTTCTCACAGGCCACTGCACGCTATCTTCATCGACAGTGCCACTGCCTTCTTCTGGCAAGATAAACTACGCGACGATGTCACCCGCACAGAGAACATTGGGCGCCCTGTCGCCGAGGTCGAGCGCGAGCGAAACCAGAAGCGAATATTCTTTTTATCGGATTTCTATGCCGAACTGGTACAAAGCCTGAAGAACCTACAGCGACATTTTGGCTGTATAGTCGCCTACACTTGTAACACATTAAACAGCAGATCGGTAACCGGCTACCAGAGCCACAACCAGTCAACGCAACAACATTCTGGCCCTTTCGACCTTTACAACCCTTCGAATGTGACGGCGGCTAGAAGTATGCCTTCTTTTCGTTGCCCGTTGCCTGCTCCGTGGGGCACTTTCGCGACGCTACGACTTGTGGTTCGGCACGATGCGGTGCGTCCGTTTCCGCCGATGATGAGCGCTCGTGATGCGCAGCGGGATGCAATCATGCGACAGAATGTTGTTTTGGAAGGCAGATTCCTGGGTTGGGTCAATGAATGGGAACGCGAGGAATGGCCTCGGAGATTTGTGGACGGATTGAAGGAGAGAAACGGGGGCGTGTTCTCGTTTCATGTAGGCAGGGGCGGCGTTGAATTTACCTGATATCATGCGTCCTTGTTGTTTGACTGGAGTTTTATGTATACTAATGATGTATGTACATTATGTGCACGGACTATACGATGCTATGCTATGATATACTGTGCTTCACCATCAGCTGAATAACTTCCCAATTGCCTCAACGGTAGTGTTGCCCCCGGTGAACACAATGCCCATGTCCCATCCATCCGGACCGGCTTCCTTCTCAACAAGTCGCCTAAACTCCTCATTGAACAAGCACACCGCGAGCCCCACAACCGCACTAGGCTCAACAACCACCTTCATGCGTTCCAAGACCAGCCGCATCGCAGCCTTGATCTGATCCTCAGTCACGGCGAACACACCAGCAACTTTGCTCCGGTCCGAGATGACCTCCCAGTTCAAGACCCCCACCGGGGTACGCAGCCCATCGGCAATGGTAAGCGTCTTGACGGACTCCACACGCTGACCCGCCTCTAGTCCCCGGCGACAGTCGTCTGCGCCTTCGAAGCTCGGCTCCGCGCCAAAGACACGCGTAGGTTTCCCGGAGAAGAACGTCGCAACACCGGCGTTTAGCCCCCCGCCCCCAAGAGGCGTGATTACCGCATCGAGGTGTCTCGATCCGGCGTCAGCCTCAGCCCCGCTGGCATGAGCACTCAGATGCGGCTTGTCGGCGACAAGCGCTCGGTATTGCTCTTCCATCTCCAAGGCGGTCGTGCCCTGGCCGCAGATGATATTGAAGTGATCGTACGGCGGGACGAGGATCGCATCCGTCTTGGCCTGGATCTCCGCGACGACGGCTTCGCGCTCGGTGCTCGTCGAGCCGCTGAATATGACCTCTGCGCCGTGCGAGCGTGTCCCTGCTATCTTCGACGGGGTGCTGATGCTGGGCATGACGATGTACGCGGGAACGTGGAGGGTGGAGGCTGCGAGGGCGAGGGCTTGCGCATGGTTTCCTATTCTGTTGTCAGCATCATGAACTTCCAACTTAAGCAGATTTGGTAAATTGTGTACCCGAACTATGCGTAATCACGCCACGTCTCTTGACCTCCTCCTCACCCCGCTCTGCGAGAAGTCGCAGCAAAGCGTGAAATGCACCGCGAGGCTTGAAGGCGCCGATGCGCTGGTAATTCTCGCATTTGAAAAAGAATCGAAACTTGGGATTTGCAGGTGTCTGGCCTTCGAAGGGTGTTCCGACCAATGACTCGGCTGATTGAGGGGTCGAGGCGATGTTGTCCAACGTTTGACAGGTGAGGAGAGGGGTGCGGTGGACGTACGGCTGGATCAAGGCGTAGGCGGAGCGCACGGCATCCGGGGTCAATGATTGCGCTGTAATGGAAGGTTCGGCCATGTTGAATTTGCGGTTCTAGATGTCTTGCTTTCGATAACGAAAAAAGAAGTACTTCAATTCTCAGGAGGCAGGAAAGATGATTTATACGAAAGGCGGGGCTCCTCATCAGACACGAGGCCGATTTGAGTCATCGGATACGGAAATGGCTGAATGTGCCTCTACAGTCATTGCGATGCGGAAGTATGGAAAATAATAAATGAAATGTGGTATTCTCAGTTCCCAATTAATAACTCAAGGATCCCATGTCAGAAAAACAAATCAAGTCATAGTACAGTCGTAACTTTTCCCAAGCCTTCCCATTGATGCAAAATTAAATCACTTCTGGTTCTCAGGGCGGAGGGAACTGCGGTATGATTAGCATATGGTCGTCGATGGATTGTATGACCAAAGAAACTCACCGAACGGCCTTTCCAGCGCGCCAGATCTCGAGATCACGGATGTCCTGCATCTCCTTCTCGTACTTCTCGCGGTAGTCCTTCTGAGAGTTGTATTCGAGCGAGCGCTTGGTCTCAGAGCCGTCACGCACACTGTCGTAGAGTTCATTGAAGATAGGCTTCAGGGTGTCCTTGAAGCGGCTGGACCAGTCGATGGCACCACGACGGGCAGTGGTGGAGCAAGCGGCGTACATCCAGTCCATGCCGTTGGCACCGATCAAAGGGTAGAGAGACTGAGTGGCCTCCTCAACGGTCTCGTTGAAGGCCTCCGAGGGGCTGTGGCCGCGCTCACGCAGGACCTCGTACTGAGCGAGGAACATACCGTGGATACCACCCATCAGGCAACCACGCTCACCGTACAGATCGGAGTAGACCTCCTTCTCGAAGGTGGTCTCGTAGAGGTAACCGGAACCGACGGCAACACCCATGGCAATGGCCTTCTCCTTGGCCTTGCCGGTAACGTCCTGGTAGACGGCAATGGAGGAGTTGATACCACGGCCCTCACGGAAGAGGGTGCGGACGGTACGGCCGGAACCCTTGGGGGCGACGAGGATGACATCAACATCCTTGGGGACGTCGACCTTGGTGAGCTCCTTGAAGACGGGAGAGAAACCGTGGGAGAAGTAAAGGGTCTTGCCCTTAGTGATCAGGGGCTTGAGAGTGGGCCAGGTCTCGCTCTGGGCAGCGTCGGAAAGCAGGTTCATGACAATGGTACCCTTCTGCACGGCCTCGGTGAGGTCGAACAGGTTCTTGCCGGGAACCCAGCCATCCTGGATGGCCTCCTTCCATGAGGCACCATCCTTGCGGACACCAACAATAACATTGAGACCCTGGTCACGGAGGTTGAGACCCTGGCCGTGACCCTGGGAACCGTAACCGATCAGAGCGAGAGTGTCATTCTTGAAGTATTCCTGGAGCTTCTCACGGGGCCAATCCGCACGCTCGTAGACGGTCTCCTTGGAATCAGCGAAGGTCATGGTCTTGACACCACGGACGGGGGCGGTCGAGGCAGCCACACGGGTAGCAGCCTTAGCGAGAGCAGGCCGGGGGAGGGCGGCCGAGATGACTGTGCGAGGGGCGGCAACACGGGCCAGACGGAGGGCACGGGGGAGTCCACGGGAAGCCATTGTGATGCGTAGGATGTATGGAGGAAAAGGGTGTATAGGAAGGAAGAGGAGGGGAGATTGGTCAAAAATTTGATGCTTTGCAAGAAAATAATGAAGAGGGAAGGAAAGTTTTCGTGAGGACGGACACTGAGAGACTTATAAGCTCGTTGTCGAGGACGACGGAAGCAGCTGTGGTAGGCACGTGACCGGAGTTGGTGCTGAGCTCCCCGGCCGATGTCGGATAGTACGCGGTATGATTGGCCGACAGGACCACCGCCATCGCCGTGCAGAACGATCTGTCTGCTCTTCTTGAATCCCCATAGTGAAATCTGTGCTCCGTCCACGGGGAGCATCCACCCAGAATATGGAGAAAATCCCAAGGTTGAGTCACAACTTTTTAGAAGTCGGGGGTTTTGAGATAATAGGAATCATTATTGTGATTCATATCATCTGTTAATTATCACGTATTCTTCTGATTTAGGGCAATTGCCTTGCTCTAGACTGCGTCCGAATTCTGCGGAGTCAACTCTCTTCTTAGTAATTGCTGGATGAACAAGCCTGTCATACAAAGGTACCTCGCAGGCTAGCACTTTGTTGTAGGTACCTTAAGTGTAGAGAGGAACAGAGTACCTTGAGAGGTACTTTGTAGGTACTTTGGTCTCGGAGACGCCTTGTTGCCTGAGGCGTCATTCTCGTATCCCCGCCAGCATCAACAACCACCTGGCTCCAAAGTCGACGGTCGCTGACTGTCTCAACTCCTCTCCACTCTCATTGAGTCATAATCAACTGCCGTGTCTTATCCTAGCAGGCGGCTCATGTTGTCCTATGCGGATATCTTCTAAGAACATCACTTACGCTCCTCTTACCATGTGCATACAATGAGCCTTCTCTCCGCATTCAGTGCTCTGCCCACCATCCAGACACGAAAAGCCCTTTTGCTCCTCGATTTTCAAAATGATTTTGTTCGCCCATCTGGTGCACTGCATGTTCCGAATGCAGCTGATATCTTGGAAAATATATCGCAACTAGTCACTGCTTTTCGTCGCACCGGTGATGTTATCTGGGTCCGCTCCCACTATGAATCGCATCGACCCCTCATAGATTCGGACTTCCAGGACCGGATAGTGCTAGGTCGTGACACGGATGAAAGGCCCGAGCGACCCAGCTCGAAAACACCAGTCGATGAGGAAGCGTTTCTATCGAGCGAGTCTTCGCAATGTTGCCGGCCGCAGTCGAGCGGCTTTCAATTCCCCGCACCCATTTTGGCTGCTATCGATGCCGAAAATGACACTTTGATGGACAAGTCGGATTACTCCGCTCTACAAGATGACGGAATGATACTTTCTCTTCGCACAAGATTTATTACGGAGCTATATCTCTGCGGTTCGCTCTCTAATGTCTCAGTGTATGCTACCGCCCTCGACGCTGTTCGCCACGGCTTCTCTGTAACCCTCATTGAGGACTGCCTGGGGTTCCGCGATTTCGTACGTCATGAGGAAGCTATGCGCCGCATGGCCGATATTTTTGGCGCCAGTGGGATTACAACTCAGGAGCTATTCGAAGAGCTTGATTGGCAAGAGACTGACGCTATTGCTCGTCAAAGTACACACAGACCCGTGCGAGCTGTTATGCCCGCTGGCATCGAAGGCGTCATGGATGAACTCGACGTCAAAACAATCCGTGGGCCCACGGCCAACGAGGGAACAGCGGAGTCGTTGGGCAGTCGGCGACGGAGACTTGATGCTCTCCTAGCAGAGCAGACTGATGGCGAGGAAGACGATCCGTTGGATCTGACAAATCTGACCCGCTCCCGCTCTCGCTACGGTCCATCCGGCTCACCAGGAAGCTCGTCTCAAGCTCATGGTGCAGGAGAAAAGAAGGCACGTGTACGTGTGCGTCGCACAAGACGACAAGATCAAAAGGCGGAGGCGTCTAATCGGACAGAAGAACGACGGAGCGGTAAGACGAAAAAGTCGCGAGATATACGCGGGCCGGGTGATAGGATTGGAGAGGGTGATTCCCGCATCATTTATGACTTGGACCTACCTGAAGACGCCTTTGCGAGTATCCGCAGCGAGGTCGCTTGGCAGAAGATGTACCATATGTCGGGGCAAGTTCCTCGCCTTGTCGCAGTCCAAGGACAAACACAGGATGACGGATCCATCCCTATATATCGCCATCCCGCGGATGAATCCCCACCGTTGCGCCCTTTCACACCGACTGTGAACCAGATCCGCATCATTGTAGAACGTATCCTTGGCCACCCGCTCAACCACGTTCTCATTCAGCTCTACCGCGACGGACAGGACAGCATATCCGAGCATTCAGACAAGACGCTTGATATTGTCCGAGGTTCATTTATCTGCAATGTGAGCCTTGGCGCTCAGCGAGTGATGACACTCCGAAACAAAGTCAAAGCTGCGGACGAAGACCAAAGACCCACGCAGCGCATACCCATGCCACACGAGTCACTCTTCATCCTAGGTGAGAAGACGAACATGCGCTGGCTGCATGGCATACGGCCCGACAAGCGACTGGCGGCGGAGAAATCTACCGAAGAGCTGGCTTATGGAGGCGAACGTATATCGCTCACCTTCCGACACATCGGCACTTTCTTGAACGGGGCCGGTGATGCAATCTGGGGCCAAGGAGCTGTCTCCAAAGACCAGAGTCAGGCGAGTACCGTAATTCATGGAGACCCTGGAGAGACAGAGCGGCTGGTTCGCGCGTTCGGCCAGGAGAATCAGGCCACCGAGTTTGATTGGGATGCTGTGTATGGCGGAGGGTTCGATGTGGTCAACTTTGTCACCACATCGACAGCTAAGTTGGTTGAGGACTCCGACCCTGTGTCCAATCTCCGAGTTCGACTCGCGCTCAGTGAGAATGGTATCCGATATGAGGTTTCGGCTTCTTCAGAGGATGCAAACAGCGTGGAGGGAAAGGCGCGGCCGGTTTTGATTACAGCTGACGGCACTGAAGTTGCTGGGGAGCTGGATATTATGAACTACCTTGCAAAGCATGCGCCAGAGCTAACACGAGCGGGCGTGGAAGTGCTGCGTGGTGGCAGCCAGCTTCTTGAGATCAATGAGCTTTTGCAGGACTGGCGTAACTCCCACAGCAATGGTGAAAAGATTGACCCGGAATCCCTAGATCGATGGGAGAAGGCTCTGGAAGGGCAGTACTATCTTGGGGGAGCAGCACTTGGGCTTGATGACTGCTTCCTCTGGCCAGTACTCCGAGATATTGTACAGACATGCGGACCGTTTTCGAACGACGAATATCCCAATTTGGCGCAATACTACCGACGCGTGGAGAAGCGCGGAATTGTCAAAGCGACCCTGGAGGAGCTCGAATAATCATTTTTGTCCTTATTTCAAGTTCAAAATACCACACAGCGCAGCGTGCAGTTCTGACGAGCTTATGACTAAGGTAGCATTTAGCAACGGCCATACTGTGAATATTCACTTTCGGTTATACTTTGAACGTCGTTCGTTGACTGACTTTGTGGAGCATTTATGTTTTAATATGTACTGCGGAACTAATACATTTTTGAGTAACTCGGGTGATCTGGATTCTGCATCAATTCTTATATACATAAAGACTATCGGTAAGACCACATCATGATCTGCAAACCAGCAGGGGTCTCAATCACAGGCATCTGCCCGAGAAATCCGTTGTTGTCAAGACCTCCTTCAGACGAGCGCCGCTGCACACTACAGCTTTGAGGAAAGCGTGTGCAACTACTTCAGCTCCTTTAGAGCTGGTATGGGTGTGGTCATTTGGGAAATATGAGTCAACGGTCGTCTTGCCCAGAGATTCATACATGTCGGCCACATAGGCGCCATGGTCCACATAATCCACGCCAGCTCTCTGTGCAGCCAATTTGGCGAGCTCGACGAAACGCGACGGAGTATAAGAAAAGGTGCCGGTCTCCCACGGATTGTTGGGCGTCTGACTGGAGATCACCACCTTGGCTTGCTTGGACTGAAACATCTTCGCAGCATTCTCCAAGTACTTGGGGAAGGTGAACACGGTTTCCTTGACACCGTTATAAGTGGTAGTACAGGTCTCGTCGCCTGTTCCGGGACAGTCTGTACGGCCATTATCGGTGCTGAGGCTGCCGCCGTCGTTGTGCCCGAACTCGATGACTACATAGTCGCCTGGCTTCAGGACATCTGCGATGGCTTGGAAACGTTTTTCGCGGGTATACGAGCGAGCACTACGGCCGCCAACTGCATGGTTCGATACTGTGCCAGAGACGAAGGGGACAATGTGCAGACCCCATCCTGTTTTAATGAAAGCCTTAGAGATGTATCTTGCAGATGGACTCGTTGCCTTGAGACTTACCGTCAGTGCCAGATCCACCCCCGCCCTTGGCCATGGTCGAATCACCCGCCATGTAGACGGTTGCACTCAAGGTGCCGGGAAGGAGGGCAAGCGCTGATAGAAAAGCGAAGCACTTCATTTTGAATCGAGGTTTATAGCTTTGAGGACTAATTCCGGAGTGTCTAATTGTACATGCAAGTCTTATCCCTCATGGCTGAAGCAACCAACTCCCTTATATAGTCCCTCCATTCCTATGCCCATACGAGAAACCTACAACTACAAGCAAAGACATACGTGGAAAAAGTCTACGAAAATTGCGGATCTCCACCGCGTTCCAGGCCTCTTTTTCAACCTCTATGTGGCGAAGGATCCGAGATTCCTTCGGGCCACCGGAGTTTCAGGAGGTTGCGTTGAGAAGTTAGAACAAAAGAATCACGGGGCGCCAGATGCTTCTCCGCAACTTGGCATGGTTGTGCAGAATCTTAGGTATTACCCCGGGTTTCTCACCAGCCGAGAGGGGTCGGCTAATATCGTTTCTGCAAGATTCAGGTTTATCATGGAGTGGAGCATGCAACTGATGAGATTTCCCGCTGCAGGCTGAGTATGGAGTACATCTCTGTGGGTTTTTCCACCTGTCATTAGGATTTGAATGGATAGTTCCTGCGGCGGATATATTCCACAGGATCAGAATCAATGGCTAATTGGAGGATTGATCCAGATCCTTCAAACTATGTAGCAATGGGATATGCTCATATGTTACCCCGACTCAAACTTTCGTCACGGAGCACCGGTCCGAGTATAAATATAGTAGAGTCAGGAGAGACAGGCAAGTCCACGCGGGGACGTCCTTATGGAGAAATACGCAAGTAATTACAGTTTTTCAAACGTAGGAGTACGCTTCTTCAGCCCAGATAGCAGCGCAGCTGAAACATCCTTGGTCTGCAGCATGGCACTATTCCAGACGGCAGTATATCTGAGACCTGCAGTGTGTCAGCCGATGGTCTACTGCTTGATCACGTGTAGAGGATGAGGGTGAGTAGAACACTTACCGTCCTGCACAGAGTGGTCCCTCGAGTAATTCAGAATCTCCTTCGTCCCCTGCACCGCGACCGGACTCTTCGTCGCCATCAACGCAGCCATCTCCAGCGCCCCCTGCACAGCCGCCTCCTTACTCTCAAACACCCGATTCACAAACCCAACGCGCAGCGCCTCCTCCGCCCCAAACACCCTCGCCGTCAGCGCCACTTCCTTCACCCACCCAAAGCTCCCGACAACCTTGGGCAACCGGCTCAACGTCCCAATATCCGCCGCAAGCCCGATATCCACCTCCTTGACGGCGAACCTGGTGCCCCGCGCGCAGACGCGCACATCCGCCGCCGTGGACAGATCAACCGCCAGACCAAGCGAGAAGCCGTGCATCGCGACGACGACGGGCTTCTCGCAGCGCTCGACGGCCGTAATGCAGTCCTGGAAGGAGACGATGTGACGGCGCAGATGGGCTGCTTTGCGCGCGGGATCGACTGCCTGGTCGCCGTCTGCGGACAGGAGACCTTGCGATGCGGCGGTGACGTCTAGGCCTGCGGTGAAGGCTTTCTCGCCTGCGCCGCTGAGGACGATGGCACGGACGGAGGGATCCTGCGAGAGGCGGTCGAAGATTTGGCCCAGCTCAATCCACATTCTGCTTTTTGTTAGTGATGTTTGCACCAGATAATGAAGAGGAACAGATAAGTATTAGCGACTTACGCCTCGAAGAAGGCATTCATCTTGTCCGGGCGGTTGATCTCCACGTGGGCGACATATTGATGTTCGGCTGGGAACCGGACGATGAAGTGCTTGAATGATTTGTAGTTGCTTTCTGCCATGGTGATATGATTCTGTCTTGCTTCGACTTGTGATGTTTGAAGCTTCTCTGTTCTGTTGATATGTGCTACGGGACCACGGGTCGATATCTGGGGAAGAAGCTCGGTGGACCTCGGCAACTTTATGACCGTCCTATATAGCTAGCAGAGCACTGGGATATAATGAGCAACGATGAGCCTTGAGAGTTCGTAGAGCGCAGCAAGGCCTTTGGCACGATGGACACTAATATATACAAATTTGAATCATAGAAGATGGATCGAAGACGAGTTGGAGATGCTCTCTGGCGGTGACTTCACGTGCCTCGGTCCGATCAGATCAGCGATAAGTTATGCTGAACTTCAATTGTTCTAAAAAGGCTAGCATTTTCCGATTATATGATCGCAGTTGGTAAAGAATAAATCTGCATATAAAAACCGAAAGGAAAATATATAAACAAGAAGGCTTTAGAAGCAGAGGAAGAAGTAAGGTGAAGCTGAAGTTCGGACCTTGCGAATATATATCCTGCGCTGCAATCTTACAATCAAACACTCTCGGACAACTGGAGACAGTGGACACTATGATACTTCAAGATTCTCAGTATAACTGCATCAATGAAATTATCTCTCTTCAAATGGCTGGATAAATTTACCAGGGATGAACGTGGCTTGACAACAAATGACCACACCTACCATGCCTCTAGGGCCTCCTTAGCCTTCCCAGCGGGGTTCTACCTTCAGCACAGGCAGGTACTTGGACTCTTGAAGACATCACCACCTTGGTCATATATTCTATTGATCTGGTAAATGGCGTCGCGAAGGGCAGATGAACGAACATGGCCTTTGAGAGGATGACTCACGTGGCATGAATGCAGCAGCAAGAATACGAGCACAACCACTTCTCCAGTTCAGCTTCCTCTCATCAACAAAGTCAAACATGTCGTTTATAAACAGCTGGTTTGGCCCTCTCTACGACGCTGTCTTTTGTCCATCATTACCACCCACTTTCCGCTGGCGTCTCCTGGCTTTCCAGCCGATCGTACTACTCTCCAACATAATCCAGTATCTCCCCAGTGTCTTCGCGAAAGGCCGCCGCACTGTCATCTGGATCCCTCTCAAGCGAGCGCCGGGCCACTCAGTCCGCGCCATCGTCTATCATCCAAGAACACAAAACCAATCTGGATCCAGAGCTCTCCATCTCAACATCCACGGCGGCGGATTCCTAGGCGGACTCCCAGAAGGCCAGACATCGTTCTGTCAGAAAGTCGCCCACGAAACCGGAGCGATTGTCGTATCTACTTCCCACCGATATGCACCGCGCTACACCTTCCCAACCGCGCACGAAGACGTCCAGGACGTTGCGGAGTGGTTGATCGAGAACGCCGAGCGGCTTTGGGGCGCGAATCCGAGATCGATGAGCGTGAGCGGATTCTCTGCAGGCGGGAATCTCGCATTGGGCGTTGCGCAGGGGCTGGCGCATACGGAGTTTAGTATCAAGGCGTCAGTGACGTTCTATGCACCGGTGGGTATATACTTTATTCAGCGCCTCCGTCGACTGTTCTAACGTGAGATTATTGTCAGATTGATCTGCGGCTCCCACCGTGGGAGAAACCTCGGCCCGCTGGGTTCCCCGAGAAAGACCCCCTGGCCTTCTTGCAGCCGCTGATGGACGCGTATGCAGGACCAGGACGGGAGAAGAACCTGACTAATCCGCTACTTCATCCTATCCTGGCGGATATTGAGTGCCTGCCCCGGAATATGATGTTCGTGGTTCCCAAAATGGATATTCTGCTGCATGAGCAGACTGTGTTCGTGGAGAGGTTGAAAGAGGAGGCTGCGGCCATCAATCGCGGGTTGGCTGAGGACTCGTCCGAGTCGCAATTGCAACCGTATCGCATTGAGAGTAGGTTCGATGAGGGTCAGATACATGGGTGGTTGGAAAGTATGGCTTTGTATTCCTGATATGCTGGACTGCACTAACTGTGACTTACTAGTTCCGTCAATATTTATCGACGCGAAGCTCAGGGACCAGATATTCGAGGAGGCGGTGCAATTCTTGAATGATGTCTACACTCCTTACAGATAGTGCTATGCAGGTTCATGGCCTATGTATTCGCTATACATGTTTATGTCAATACTCTACTCCCAGTCACATCTGTATAATAGTGCGACGCCTCCACTCAATGCATCTACATACTAAGAACTACGATTGTGAGCTCAGTTGAAATGAAAATAATTAAATTTTAATTATTGTCTGACATAGTGCACTAAGTATACAGGAAAGGACAGACTTGACAAGCGCTTGCAACGGAAACATCATGCCATCGAGAAACTGTTCGAATTAACTCCGTGAATGCCAAGGAAAGACAAGGAGATATGCAAGTATCGTCACATCGTCACATCATGCCCGTATCCGAATGGTTCCAGTCGTCGACCATTTACTCGATGGTAATCTTCTTGGCGCCAGTGTTGACGACCTTCTTCGGCACAACAATGGACAGAATGCCGTTCTTGAGACTGGCCTTGACGTTGTCGTGGTCGACGGGAGTCGGGAACTGGAAGGTGCGGTGGAACTCGCCGACAGAGCGCTCGCTCACCCAGTAGCGGTGCTTCTTGGTGTCGTTCTTGCTGACTTGCTTGTCACCGGACTTGACCATCTCGGTACTCTCCTTCTCCTTCTGCTTGTCGTCAGAGGACTCCTGGGTGGCCTGCTCGGGAGTGCCGCAGTGGTATTCGCGCTCGCTGCGGCCCTTGATCACGAGAGTGTCGTTGTCGGAGAACTCAATGTCAATGTCCTTCTGGGCAATGCCGGGAAGCTCGCCGTCCAGAAGGTAGGCATCGTTGGTTTCGCGAACATCAAAGCGGGGCGCAAAGGAGCGCACAGAGGAAGTCTGGCCTCTGGTCGACCGGTGGACATCGTAGTCGTCCAGAAGGCGGAAGAGAGGGGCGAAGTCGCCAGGAGTGTGGAAGGTGTGGAAGAGAGACATTTTGAATGTGTGTGATGAAGCTGTTAATGAGTTGATATCGCTGAAGAAGTTGTTGTAGTTGATGTGAGCGCGTTGTTATCGTGATTCTTGTGTTCTGATCTGGTGAAGTGAACCTCGAGTAGACGAGGTGTTGGAGGTCCCTATATACCCCAGAGCCATGGTTCGAGAATCTCCCATGATTCTATCCCGATGACTTCAGAAGTGTTGCTCGAGAGTGCCGGATGTTGCTTGATGCGTCAAGAATCATCGAGCATTGTCGACTGGACATAGCTGGAGCGCACTCGATGATTCGCGGAGATTCCACGGTCACGTGACTTAAGGGACCAGGGGAGCTTCAGGCAGCTTGGAGAAGCTTCGAAGCATTCAATGCACTTTGACGAGATGCTGTCCATGGAACGTCCTAGATTGATCATAGTTCATTCGTCTGATGAGCTGTCATACAGGTTGTAGGCTCATTGCATGATTCTCCCCCACAACGTGTTCCTCCATCGTAGGTTCTGGCTACACTCTGAATTCGCCACCAGACCAGAATTCAAACCTGCATCACATCATAGCATGGGATAGATGGCTCTATGTCACACCACAAATGCATTTTGCAACACGCATTATTGCAAGGATTACGCTGCGTGATTTCACAGTGAAATCATCTTGTGGACAGCGTAGATTTCGACGGAATTCTTCGATACCATTTTCGCAGTACTGCTACTGCTCCTTTCGAAGAGCATGCTCGTCGCGACCGTAGAATATCCAGGTGATAGTTCTTCGAACAACGTCGTCAAAGACGGCCTAATGTCGATGGCCAATGGCCATAGACGCGTCCGAAAGTTCAGGAGATTGTATCGTTGCTTCGACAGTTTGGGTAACGTCGTCCTCTACTCGGATTCTGATTCTTCGGGCTGCATTACTTTCTCATCAAGCTCCTATCCAAATATCAGCGCACCCATCGCACCGAAGGAGTTTCGGTATCCATACCCTTCCCAGCCGTTCCTTCAAATTTTGTAGCTGGCTTTCTTTGATGACCAGATGGCGGTCATCGTCTAGGTCCTCGACAATGTAATCGTGACTTTCTTCGTCATACTTCAGTATGATGGCTTTGACGGACGGATCACACTCGATGAGCACTCCTGTCGTACGATATCGGTCAGAAACAGTCAACAGTCAACCATCATAGGGGTTCGACGATCGGCGCACCTTTGATTGCACGGGGCATGACGGAAATTTGTTTCGATTATTGAGATGATGGTCTGAGGTACGCAAATATAGGTTCTTAGGCTGTATCGAACTGGGATCAAAGGAATGTGAGATCTCGCAAGTCGCGAGGTCCTGTCGATGGTCCACATCGGAGTGCCAAGACTCAATGGAACTAAGGCACCAAGGCACCAATTCTTGGAAGACGGTGAATTACTGGATTGGGTTTAGCTCTCTTATTGGGGTATAGTGTTTCCCTCCTGCTCTTATAAGCATCTCCTGCAATATAGAAATCGTCACCGGAGTTGTAATGAGGGGTAGGCAAGAGCTGAAGGAGTGATCTCGTTGGCAAGACTATAAGACCTGCGCAACCTTGAGTTGAGGTCGAATTTGACGATTACAGAGAGCATACCCCAGGCGTCGCCTTGCGTTTTTCTCAGCAGCATATTTCCAGCTCCTTAGGAAGCCTGCAGTGATGCCTTTCAAATGGCGACCAAGCTAAACATCTAACGAAGGGGCGGGGGAGAACCTTGGGATGAATTCGGATTCAAGAATCAGGGGATCACACAATGTTGGCGAAATGGTGTATATAGTATATCGGCTATTACGCAACTGTCCTTTCCGTCTTCACCAACAGTTTGCTACGAGTATGAGATACTCCATAGTCTGGAAGGTATAAAAACCTGCTGATGGACATATATACTGCAAATAAATTATGCGGAGCTTTGGAGGAGTCTATTATTCTCGATCGAGTCTGTCCTCCACATCATCATGGACATCTTTCTCGACCTCATGAGGTGCTCTCCAGCCTGTACATGCTTGAAGCATGGCCGCTACTAGAGCCAGAACACAGCCGCCCAAGATCAGAATCTTGACTGCCTGCTCATAGCTTTGAATGGCCACCTCTTTCTCCAGTCCACTCAGATTCCTCACCAAGGCGGGGCTTCCCAAAAGTTTACGAACAAGGTCATCTTTCCCGGAAAGTCCGTGCTTGCCAAATCCCTTCTCAAGTGCCTTCTTCAGCTCCCGCTGAAAGAAGCCTCCGCCAATGGCCGATCCAAAGCTTCCAGCAGAACCACGGAACATGCCTAATAGAGAGGTCACAATGTAGTGCACGTTTGGATTGGTACGATGTAGCATATGAGACAATGCATAGTTCATCGAAGCGCCGATGAAAAAGCCATTAAAAAAGGTCGAGACGACGTAGGCGATGGTAGGTGAAGAAGGTGTCGATAGTAGGGCCAGAATAAAGTTCGTCAACGCAAAGAGCAGGAAAACTACCAGCGTCGAGCTATAGCATGAGAGGTCAGCTTTGGGACTTTTCGGATCAATTGCAACGACACCCACATGTAGTAACTACTCATTTTGCGAATATGGATCCATCCGATTAACAGGCCTCCAAGGCCGAACCCTGCGTTCGTTGGAACTAGGATCAACCCTGCCGAGGCGGGAGACCATTGTCGGACCGCCATTGCATACACCGGCGTGAAAAAAAGCACAGACCAGCGGGCCATCATCGAGATGAGAGCTGCAAGGCAGGTAGCCAGTACGCTTCTCGCTTTGAGTACTTCAAGCGGGATTATCGGCTCTGGTGTAAACTTCGATTCAAAAAGAAGGAAAACGGCGAACGAGACGAAGCTCAAGATCAGAGGTGTGATCGTAACAGTTGAGTCTGGCGACGCAAGACTGAAGAGCAGCAGAAATACTGAACTTGTCTGGAAGAAATGGTTAATCCTCAAGCCCTGTCGTCAAACCTTGGTAGTCTTACCAGAGTCAAGGCACCCGCATAATCGACTTTGGCTAGTCTTTGCCAGGGAGAACTGCCCTGCAGACTCATAGAAGTACTCTTGGCGCTGGGAACAGCGACGAACAAGGTCAAGCCCAGAATCAAAGAAGCAGGTGCTTGAACCCAGAAGATCAGGCGCTACGGTGCTTGGGTCAGCTCCGTGTCCTTTTCAATGATCTGAATGGAAGATGACATACCCATCCAAAGACTGGCGTCAGCAATCCGGCAAGTAGCGCACCGCAAGAGATTCCCGTCGTCACTCCGACATTCAACAAGCCAATGAAGAGACCTCTTCTCTTCTTGCTTGTAAGGTCAAGGATGAAGATGAAGGACGTGACCATAACACCTGCACTGCCACAGCCAGATAGTGCACGTCCAAAAAGGAAGACCGGCAGGCTTTGGGAAGCGGCAGTAACAAAGAGTCCAACAGATAATATCCCCACAGAAAAAAGAGTGTAATTACGGGCTGTGAAGATCTGACAGAGACGTCCTGCTAAAGGAGAGACACTGGACATTGCGATCTTTATGCAAGGCACTAATTAGCCCACTGGCATGTGATGGACAGCTCTGAATGACATTGAATAGACGTACCAGGTATGCTGAGCTGAACCACGTCGTTTCCGAAAAGGCGTCGAAATCTTCTGCGATATCCGATTGAGCCGTGGTCAACATTGATATGTTCGTGGCTGCAATGGCATTCGTTAGTGATTGCGGCCTCAAAATGTCAAATTTATTTACTCTGAATGAATAGCAACAGGCCCACAGTGATAGTGATGACCGTTCCTCTGAGTAATGAAGGCGATATCTGCGTTTCATCATGATCCGTGAGCGGATGCTCTATCAACGGTGTAGCCTCGGAAGGCATTGTGTCTCTTTGCCGTTCAGCCACCATGATGCTCTCTGAATGCAGGATGTTTTGAAGGCAAAGATAGTAGAGTGTTCGTGCCCATGGATATTGACAATCGGTATATTATTGCTGCCAAAGGTGATAAAGACTCGATTCTGCTAGAAGTAGAAGCTAGCGGATAAGCATTTATAATCAAGCCGGACTGATAACTAATTCTCCAATCGACCCAATCATAAAGGAGGTTTGTTCATTTGCCTGGTTTCCGATATGAAAACCAAGTTGATAACCCATGCAAACATGGCAAAGAATGACCCTCCTGGGTCAATGACCACCCCATTTTGTGTCCCTCCTGGAGCAAGTTGATTCGACGCGAGCTGTTAGTTCAGGAACCCATAACTATTTCATCATCCTGAGACGAGTTATGGAGGCAATTATTCATTTTCGCCAGGATGAGCTCATGGAAATCGACACGAAGATACTTGCAGATCTTCTGAGTACGACCTAGAGCTAGGTGTTCAGGGACAGAAATGGTATGCTCCCGCAGCCCTGCCCATTATTCTCGTACCTGACGTCCCTTTTTGCTCTTGCAAACCGTTGAAAATCACATGATTTGAAGTCAAGACACTAACAAAACCCCCACCGCCTGCCTGAGCAAGCTCCCCACATGACACAAATGTGGAGATCGCGTGTGCTTACTTTGATTGCCTCAGGTGTCATTTTTATGGAGCATTCTGAATTTCTGATGAATTCATGAAAGAGCTCCCTTGTACCGTATTCATACCCGAGATCGAGATTGGAGGCGCAGAAATCATGGAGCGTACCCAAATGTATCCGACAACCGACCCAGGGCTTGCTTACTATCATGTTGTTTGGACTGAACATTTACGAAAGCAGACGTCTTCTTCGATGACGGATAGTTACAGATTGCTGTACTGGCATCTATACGAGCTATTAATTCACAGTTACCAGCAAAGAGCATAGGCAAGAGCTCCTTCACCTTGGTCTCATGGACCTTTCATCAAGGCAACGTTTTGTGGATGAGAGAGCTTGTGTCGTCCTTGAATACCATCACTCTCGCTTTCGTTTAGATGGTGCTATTGTTAAGGACCGATCAGCTGATGTAAATCCAGCCCGCCATATGACACAAATATGTACAGTGGCAGATGACAATCTCATCTGAGCACAAAAAAAAGCACGTCGCTGGATACATACATAAAACCAGTACTCTCGGGATTCTTGACTTGACGGAAAAGAGAAACCTATCAGACCCATCCATTCTCATAATGAAGCCTGTCTACATCTCCGCGATGTTCCTGTACCTTTTCGCCGCCCAGGCAGAACACCGCAATTCTGCACGTAAGATTAACCGTTCTCTGGATCATCAACCGGTATTCATTGAAGTATACAGGAGAAATAAAGATGGCTCACGCAGACGCGCGGAGAACCCCTGCCTTGGACCTAGAACAGACCGTCCTAGGGATCGACGACAGCCGTACGTTGATGCAAATCCACAAATGATTGTAGCTGATGAACGCTAGATTGCTATCGCTGCTCGTCTCCATGCTCGCACGCCGTTTGCTGTCATGGGGAGTTTCCGCAGTGCTGTTCGGACGGGCATTATTGCTACTGTTGTGAGGAGTGAGGGCGTATTATCCAGTTATATGGTTGTCTATCTGTGTCTGATCTAATTGCAAATAACCCACTGCTCCTTTTTCGAAGAGTGGGCGTACATCGTCCAGTTTCAGTGGTCATTCCCTTATCCAGCCAGCGCAGTTGTCGATAGTCCATATCCAATAGAATGCAATTTGTCTTTCTTCCTCAGGGTACCGTGTCAGAACGACAGCACCATGGCATTAAAGTCTAGAAAACTCATCTGGGAAGCCAGGGCTGCACTCTCAATTCTGGAGGATATGCTCCTGCGTCCGCCCAGTCCGCAAGCCATACCTGTCCCTCTGAGTCCAAAGTGAGATTCCGAGGGCCAAGAGGCAATGTAAATGCACAAGCAGAGTCTACTATTAATAGAATAGTTGGCAGGGCGTATGATGTATCACATCCAATTATATTATTGTGTGAGACGTCACATTGACTTTTGATTTTCAGTCAACTATTTCTATACGAATTTATTCAGTTAATTACACAACGATTTGATATCTTCCGGGCTAAAAGGGCGTAGGATATCTAGCAATCTCGACAGGGGGATCCAGTCCAGCCGCCCGTGAATTGTTTCAATGGCGTGGCCGCTGTACAGGACGCGGGCGAAGTATTCCGAAGTAGACGTTTTCCTGCTTTCGTCAGAAACCGATATTGAACCCAAGTAAATGAGGAGACAGACTTACCAAACCTCAAATGCGATGTTCGAGCCCATCCCGGGCCACCGCATCGCTGTGATCCCCAGCGCGCCCAGAATAGGGGAGATATCCCCATCATGCACAAAGTTATGGCTATACGCCAGCTCAGATGCACCTTCCGCGACTGCCTCGAGCTTCCGTACTATCTCTCCAATGAACAAACCCTCAATGACCTGGATGTACCGTGTCGCGTTTGCGTTCCGCCGCCACATGTAATTATACTCCCAGTCACCGGCGCGGAAGACCTCATCCGCTTGGGCTGCGGTCACGCACTGCGTCCGGTCCTGGACGCGGCAAGGCAGCCTGTACCCATTACACAGGCGGGCCTGGAAATTGTCCGCGAAGTGGTCGAAGTTCGAGGTCCAGGAGGACTCGTCCTGCGCGTCGAACATGGCTGTGAGTTTATCACGGAGGGTCTGCGTGACAGTGAGATGCTCGTTCCATTCGGCAGTGGATTGAATTGCGGATAGGAGGGTGTTGCGCGCGGAGCAGGGGAATCCCCGGTTGACTGTGTCGACGGCGGAGGCTTGCTGGTGCACTGGAATCGGCTCGTGGTACTCTGGCCAGAGGCCGCGTAGGACAGCGCCAGCGGAGCCCTGTGTCAGGGCCGAGGAGCTGGAGCGGAACCAGACTCTCTTCTGGTCTGGGACTGAGGGGATGAGGCCTAGCCGGCGGCCGTAGACGGCCCGGAGATCACGGCCGTGCTGGTAGCCGTCGAGGAAGCCGCCCAGAGTGAGTTGGGGGTACTGACAGGACCTATTCACATAGGTGGCAAGATACGGGTTGGACGGGTCTGAGTAGGTTTGGCCATAGACAGCGACTGGCGACGGGTGCTGCGAAGCTGGCGCGGCGTAGACATGCGGATCGATGTTGTCGCAGTTGTATTCTTGATCCTGGATGAAGTTAGCGACCAGTCGGCGCAATTGTAGAAAAGCGAATTACCTCTCCTTCAGGAAGGATATTGTAAGGAGTCCGCCGTTGATGGCGCTGCAAGTATTCAAGATATACCAGCTTAGCCTTGATGGAATGATTTGCAACAGGGGGCGGCAGAGAGTAGGTCTCACCGCGCGGATGAGGCATGGAACAGTAATTGTAGACATCATCGGCGGACGGTGAGCTAGCACTATCAGCGGGAGCAGTGTAGATGCCGCCATAAGTGCCGTAGGAGGTGTTGGTGACGAATGTGGTGTGGTTCAGAGGCGGATAGAAGGTGTCCCGGGAGGCAAGGGTTGCCGTCCCTGAGAACAAGAGCGTCAAGCCTAATGATAGCATGTTGACTAGAGCTTCGTAGAGTGAGATGGTATGATCATGATAGACACTCCATATCCGCATTATTTATACATGAGCTGTTGTGTTCCGAAAAGATAGAAGATCCTCTAGTTGTTGCTGAGGACCAAGTTGAAGTGGGAAACACGACTCTGTTGGATGATCTGCGTCCACTAAAAATGCTACACCTTCCACGTGGTGCAGCCAATACAAACAATAATTGAGCCATGTTCTCAGAGGCTTGCAATCGGTTGGTCATTTTTATTATGGCCAAGAAATCAGCTATCATATAATCTTTCAATGTAATAATGGATTCCGGATAAACATTACAGAAAAGCTGCTAATTTGACCTAAGTGGAAGTTTGACAGTGGACATCAGAAGTTCGATGATATATAATTGTAGCATGTTCCAGTCCACAATAAACAATAGGCCAGTGAAGAAGACAGGGGAATTGAAGAACACTATTAATAGTAATATTGTAAACCTCCTGCGAATAATAGAATTATTCTCAAGAATATGACCTGGCAGCTATTGAAGAACAGCATTAATAGAAATATTGTTAACCTCTTACAAGTAATAGAATTATTATTCTGAATATGGCCTGGTGGCTATTAAAGAATAGTATTAGGAGCAGGCAGGCTGGAGTGAATGAACAGCATAGGTGAGGTGCTTGTGGAAGGAAAGTAAGCTAAAAGTAGGTGGATATTCAAGGCTAGATATTCACTACGTATTTTGCATCTCCTCAGGGCCAGGTGTATGTGCCTCAACAATAATTCTATAGTATATAAAAGACCCCTCTCCCCCAAACCTTTTCTCCTTCCCTCCTTCCCTCCTTCTCTTCTTGCTATCATCATCATTTTCTTCCTAGGAGTATACTATGTCAGGCTCCTCCTTTATATATCTATAACCTACAAGGTGCCCCTTTATAATTCTTCCAAACTGTGATTGGAGCTATGGAGATACTACAGTCAAGTGACATATACTTGCAGACCAAGCTCTACCAAGATTTAGGCCGCCCTAATAACTTGGGTTCACAGCTACAGAGATAACTATGAGGCTGTATCTTCTTCTCCTGAGATGCTATTTAGCAACCAGCAGTTCAATAGTCAACTATATTTCACCCAGACACATTCAACCCTTCTCTCCTCAAAGACCCAATCTCACAAATCATGCATGAGGATGACCTTAAATCTTAAAGATGATACTGGAATTAGCAGCACAAGCCCTACACAGGAATCCTTCAGAAGTGGCTCGCCAGGGTGGTGACTATATTAGGATTACTTCCCCTGGGCTTGCTGTTCTCTTTCAAGCAAAGAAGATCCTTAACTGGCTCCTGGAAAACACAGAACGCAGAACTACAATTGGTCACCTGCTATTCGAAATATGCAAACCCGGTAGTTGCCTAGATGCAGCGATCAGGGCCGAGGATGCCCATAATGAAGTTGGCACCCCGACCACTTTTGCTGCAATCCTCTTCCTCAATGCCCCTTCTGCCAACTATAGCCGCGTCTGTCGTCGACCTTGCATAGAGGCAAGCAGAATATAGACAATTTAAGTAGTCTTCTGTGACTATATAATTACTACTATAACCATAGGGGACTGCTGTGGTGATTTAGTACGTACTAGGTTTGCAATCTACTTGAAGGCATTCTATTTATACAAGCTGCGGGTCATATCCAAACCCCATGTACTTTAGAATCCTATTTGAAAATGCTACTAGGATCAGCCTATTATTTGTCTTTATAAGACTTAATTAGTAGATTAAAGATATCAACAGTTAGAGGACCAATATGAATAAGCCATAAGTCACCGCTGTCCCGTCTAACCCCTCCATTATCCTCTTGACGTTCCAAACAATACTAATTCATTATAGGTTCTGTCAATAAATGCCATTTAATGAATATCATCAAGTCTAGACAGTTGCGCGGAAAGGCCTAGTTGGGATGATAGTGTCTATAGAAGTTTCTGAGCACCAGGAAGTCGCCCGTGCATGGATTATTTGAGTGGTTAACGTTAACACTTATTAAACCAATTATCATGCGCATAATGTCTCTTATATATCCATGTCTCTACCGAATTACTGAATCTTCTTGCATATCATGTGTGCAAAATTAGACCTCTAGATTTTCCTGATGGCTGGTAGTCATGTTCAGAGACTAAAATCTCGCAGGAAGCAAACCGTTTCGAGAGGCCCATGGGGGTAAAGGCAAGACTGAATAGCGATTCTAGCCTACTTCACGATATGTATTTTCTGGATGAAGCTAGTTTGGTGTCAGATGCAGAAATCTTTGGTAATTCCTTGACAATGTCCTTAGAAGTATCTGCTGTGTGCCTCGGATAGCCAGAGGACCACTCTTAATCTAGCCTTAATCACATGCTTGAGTTTGAAATTACCATCTGTCAGTAGACTTAATTGCATGGGTGATATCTCAACCGGCTTTAATCCATGTCTCTCTCAACTGTTATCACAGTGATAGGTGCAATGACCCCGATCGCGTGTCATATCCCAAAAAAGGTTAGGCGTTCTCCGAGCGGGGCGATCCACCCCCGGCATTCTCGACCAACCACAACATATGGCACGGAAAGCTTCCGCCGTGAAATCTATTCCGACATTCCGAGGCTCCGATATCCTTTGGCCTCCCCCTCACATCTCAATCAGGCAAGAAATACGCCCAGGTGGTACAAAATGGCTTCAACTTCGCTGCTGCATTCTCAATGCTCCATCTTTCGATTAATGTGTTTTTCATTATTCAGCCCCTCCCGACATGACTCCTCACCCTCTAGCAATCCTCTCCGAAGCGGAGACTAACCTTGCGCGCGACGTCGTCATTGCAGAGCATCCCAACACGATCATTGATTTTCGTGAAATTTACCTGTTGGAACCTCCCAAGGACCAGCTGCGCGAGTTCTTAGCTCTTGAACACGCTGGTCGTCTGAGCCCAACCACGCCTCGACCTCCTCGTCTCGCTACTTGCCAATACGATGTGATTGGAGCCGACCGCATCCCCTCCTTCCATGAATCCGTTGTCGACGTGGTCGCGCGCAAGCGTGTCAAGCACCACATTGTCGGAAAGCAGCATCATGCTTCGATTACTATGTCCGTTGAAATACATGTCTCACAAAGGCGAATACCTGCTAATGTCGATATTACAGGAACGAATTCGAGAACCTCGTTGAGCGATGTTTTACCTCACCCTTATTCAAGAAAGCCCTGGAAGATTTTGACCTGCCGCCGGGATTTGAGGTCACAATCGAGCCATGGCCCTATGGTGGCTTGGACAACACCGATGAGAATCGGCGGTACTTCCAGGGTCTTTGTTTTGCCACCGACAAGAGCAAGAATAACCCGGATGCGAACTTCTACTCCTACCCTCTGCCATTGATCCCTGTCATGGACGCTCATACCCAAGAGATCATTCGAGTGGATCGTCCAGCCACCGGCGGCAAGGGAGATGGTTTGACCGAGCAAACCTTCAAGCGCGACATTATCGGACACTGCAAGGCCTCCGACTACGTCCCGGAGCTTCTGCCAGACGGCACTCGGCGGGATTTGAAGCCCCTGAATGTCGTACAGCCTGAGGGCCCTTCTTTTCGCATCACAAACGAGTCCTTGGTCGAGTGGCAGAAGTGGAGTTTCCGTGTTGGTTTTAATCCTCGTGAGGGTGCGACTATTCACGATATCTGGTACGATGGCCGTAGCGTGATGCACCGACTGTCTATCAGCGAGATGGTAGCGTTATTTTCAGAGGAATTACTTGGACAATTTGACTGACCAGGATCTAGACTGTTCCCTATGCAGACCCTCGTCCTCCCTTCCACCGCAAACAGGCTTTCGACTTTGGCGACGGCGGCGGTGGTAACATGGCTAACAACCTTTCTATTGGCTGTGACTGCCTGGGGGTCATCAAATACTTCGATGCCATCGTTACGGGACCCGACGGTAGTGCGAAGAAATTGCCCAATGCCATCTGCCTGCACGAGCAGGACAACGGCATCGGTTGGAAGCACTCCAACTGGAGGACAGGCCGTGCTGTGGTCACCCGCAACCGCGAACTAGTGGTGCAATTCATCATTACGCTGGCAAACTACGAGTACATATTCGCCTATAAGTTCGATCAGTCTGGCGGCATGACAGTCGAGTCTCGCGCGACAGGGATTCTGAACGTCGTCAACATCGATCCGGGCAAGGTCAGCGATTACGGTAACGTAGTTAGCGGAGGTGTCTTGGCCCAGAACCATCAGCACATCTTCTGTGTCCGTATGGACCCCGCAATTGACGGACCAAATAATTCCGTCGTGGTCGAGGAGTCTCATCCAGTCCCCATGAACGATGTCACCAACCCAAGGGGAAACTTCTACAAGGTCACTCAACAGACGCTTGAGCGGGCGTGCTACCTCGACGCGGCTCCGCAACTGAACCGTACCATCAAAATGATCAATCCCCATAAGAAGAACCCCATCAGCGGTCACCCTGTAGGTTACAAGTTCATCCCGCTGGCTACCCAGCTGTTACTGGCGGATCCCAACTCCGTCCAAGCCAAGCGCGCTCAGTTTGCACAGCACCACGTGTGGGTGACAAAGCATCGCGACGGTGAGCTATATGCGGGAGGTCGATACACACTTCAGAGCCAGCAGGAGGTGGACGGTGTGGCTGACGCTGTCAAACGGGGCGAATCCGTGGTGGATACTGATGTGGTGGTCTGGAGTACCTTTGGTATCACGCACAATCCTCGTGTAGAGGATTGGCCAGTCATGTGAGTAATGTTTCTCCCCTTTCAACCAGTGACTCGGTGCTAACATCCAATAGGCCTGTCGAGATATTCCAACTGATGATTAAGCCGGCGGATTTCTTCACGGCCAATCCCTCTCTGGATGTGCCCTCGAGCAGGAATGCGGCGTCGAGAGTCGTACAAAAGGAATGCTGCCGTGACGCTCAGCTGTGATTGAGACTGTTGGATGAGCATTACGATTCACGAACATTTATAAGACTGTATAGTTGATCATGGAGTCATGGACAGATCCTCTGGTGGACACCCTGTGGTGGCTCTCTGTATATAAAATTTTCTTAATCGAGGGGTCAGACTGATCAGTTCAATTGATAAGATGAAGGTTGATGCCTCAGGCTCATAGTGAATCCGCATCAATTCCGCTATCCGCCCGAGACGCGGAATTATGTTTCTTCCACTCACCCACCGATGATGCCTCCACCTGATATTATTTCAACCATGCTGCAAGTGTCAGCCCATTTTAATTTCATCGGCATCGATTCCTAGTGTTCCGATGCGGTATAGATCTTAGAATCAGACCAGTTACAGCGGCTAAGGCGCCAGATCATGGGCTCGGAATCCCCTAAGCGCAGTGCCGACATTCCGGGTCAGCCTCGGAGCAAGAAACGAGCCAAGTACACGCAGGTAGCATGGTGCGTCCCGCCATCTTAAGTTCATTGTGATATTTCATCTGATAATGATTGCACAGCAACGAGTGCAAGCGGCGGAAACTGAAATGTAGCGGAGAGCCGGTCTGTTCGCGTTGCGCCCGCGACAATGTTCAATGCGTCTATGTCCCCAACGCACATGCAATCAGCAATAGAACACCTTCGTCACCAGAGGTGCAGGCCGATGATGAAAGGTTCGCTGCATCAGCTTCGTTGAGTGATACAAGCTGACGATGATCAGGGTCTCGACCCGACTGAGTACCGTTGACCGTCAGATTGAGGTGCTGCAGCGCGAGATGCGAGCCATGTCCGCTCGCTTGCGACAAGTTGAATCAGCCTCCCCCTCAACAACGAACAATACTTACACCTCTATCTCAACCGTGTCCTCCTCGTCAACGACTGCAGGTCTCCACCGCATCATGAACCGTCCGCAGTCACCGTCCTACGTCGGTCCCACGAGTGCAGAGTTTGGCCTGACTGCGCGCCAACGGCAGCCGGAGGACTTCGACAGCGGTGACGACCTCGTCTCGACGGCGGTGCAGAGTCCGGCCCCCGCGCTTGGAGACGACATCTCTTCTGACGATCCGCTGGGGTGTCTAGGTTCTGCTGAGGCGCTCCGTCTCGTCGACGTGTACGAGAACACGGTTGGGGTGATGTACCCTTGCGTCGATCTGGAAAGCGTGCGTGCGTATATTGCCGAGTACTTCCGGGATAAGGACGGGGTGGAACCGAGTTCACCGACTGCGCTGGACCAGGAGTGGTTCTTCGCGAGGGATATCGAGGTGCTGAAGATTCTACTGGCGACGGCTTTGTTAGCCGAGTCGCATGGCCGCAGTGAGAGGGCGGCGTTGCTGGCGGATAGCGTGGAGGATCGGTTCGCGACACGGCTCAAAGTCCCGGAGGTGGACATGAAGGAGTTGCTCATTTTGACTTTGCTGGTATTTCCGTCATTTTTGCGTGACGTATCTTTCTTCGAGTGGCTGCTGATGAGATAGTCCATCTTTCATTCCTATCGCGACGACGAAGTTATATCCTGGCGGCTTATCGGCATGGCGGTGCGAGGAGCAATGCAGCTCGGCCTACACTGCCAGGAGACCTGGCAAAAGACCGGTGGCGTGTTCCCCGGTGAGCTGCAATGTGAATATGCCAGCCGGCTGTTCTGGTGCATCTACGTGCTCGACCGCAAATGGTCCTTCGGCACGGGCCTGCCTTTCGCCATCCAGGATTCAGACATGGACACCAATCTACCCGAACCCGGCACAAGCACACCCTACCTCACCTGCATGATCAACTACGCGCGTCTAAGCACCAAGATCTGGGGCCTAGTGGTGGGCTGGCGCAACAGGCCCCGAGCCGCAACAGCAGACTACTGCTCCTACCTCGACTTCCAGGTCCAGCAATGGATCCAGTCTATTCCTCCAGAGCTACGCTTCAACCCGACCAAGTCACCAACCCTGCCTGAGCGTGCCGGCCGCCCAGCAACAGTTACGACTACTCCACAACCCCAATCCCAATACCACACGCAAACCGACAGCATGATGATGCTCCAAGTCCTCCTCGCCCTTCAGGCAAACCAACTCCGCATCCTCGTTTACCGCCAGAACCTCCTCTCCAGCGAGAGCATCGAATCCGACGTGTCCGGCGCCTCGACCGCCGTCGAAACAGCCAAAAGCACAGTGCACATGCTCGATTTCTTCTCCCGCGTGTCGCCGCTCTACTTCCAACGCCCGGAACCCTTCAATTACTTCCTCATCTCGGCATTGGCGGCACTGTTCCTGGCAGTCCTGCATGCCCCCGCGCGGTTCAGCCAAGTCTGTCGGCCCGAGTTCTACGCCGCCGTTGACATGGTGCGGCGGTCGTCGACGCGCGCACGCACCTCCCGCCGCTTACAGAAGATCATAAAGAGCTTGAAGATGATCTGGATGAATCTCGGGGCGCAGAGACCCAAGGAGCCAGTGCAGAAGAACGGAGCGAATCGTCGCACTCCACTTGGGCTGGATGCTACGGGGACCTCGCTGTCGACGGGGAGTCATGCCGAGTCGCCATATACTCAGAGGCCCATGTCGGGTGTCACCACGCCGCAGCACCCGAGGTCTGCGTACGTGCGCGCCATGACGTCTCCGACGACGGTTCTTGCGGACGAGACAAGCTGTGACGACCTGACCAGTTTCTTTGAAATGGCGGGTGGGTTTTATTTCGATTCGAGGATGGGGAATGGGGGAACAAGTGATGGGGGACTGGTACCTGATGCCGCGACGGAGGGGTTTGATGCCTTTCAAGCGGAGGATGAGGCGTTGACGAGGGTAATGGCTGGATTATTATAGGCTTACTGCAAGGTATGAGCAGTCTCATGCCATCATATGCTTTCATACTTCAAGCCTAGACGGCAATGAATCTATGTGCTATTGCTGTGATACAAATATACCGGACTCAGGCTTCCACGGCTTCCGCGGCTTCCACTGCTTCCACTGGCGGTTCCAGAAGCGTCATCCGCACCATCACCTCGACCGAGCTCCACAAAAGACCAGACGGCACATCTCGGTCCCACTCAAAATGGGGATTGACAAAATGCATATCGAACAGGAACATGAATTTGGCGAGCGTGAGCCGAAGCTTCTGCAGCGCGATCTGCCGGCCCGGGCACGAGCGGGGCCCCGCGGAAAACGGCCGGAATGCGCGCATTTCGTCTGGGTTTTTCGGGTCCAACCAGCGTTCGGGCTTGAAGATGTCCGGGTCGTGCCAATACCTCGGGTGGCGCTGAAGAGTGTACAGGTCCGCCGAGACTAAGCACTACACGTCGAGTCCTGTCAGTTGCGGGGTTCGAGGTAAAAAGGCACGACAAGAGGAAGAAGAAACATGAAAGGAGAGGAATGCATGCTACGTACTCCAGGAGGAACGTAGACCCCGTCTACAACCGCGCCTGTCGAAACACGGCTCGTGAATTGCCCGTTCAGTCCAGGCCAGAGTCGCAGTCCCTCGTTTATGCAGGCAGTAAGGTACGGAAGCCCTACGAGTTGGCTGTCGGTGATGGGCTTGCTGGCGGAGAAGTTTGACCGGATCTCCTGTTGTAGAGTGCGGTAGCGCACAGGATCTCGCATGAGAGCGCATAGGATTGCTCGGGTGGAGGACTCGGATGTTTCGAAAGCGGCATAACTGAGAACCTTTAGCACTTTGCTTCCATGACTGAAGCGGTCGCGGCTCACATCAGACCAGTCACGTTGCTAGACATCTGCTTGGTCAAGTACGGGTACTTCTCGTTCTTGTATGGTATTGCTTGGGAAACGAACGTGCTCTTGCCTTCAGCTCGCCTGTGTCCATCTGTCAGTCATGGGGTATCACCATGGGCCCGGCCTTCAGACATACTGCTTCAGTGCAACATCAAATAGGTGCGCTGGGTCAAGGTATTTTGGTATCCAGAAAGGACCAAAGCTATCGACGAGCACCTTGAGTCCGCGCCGGCTCAGAAGGAACGAACCCAGCGCGAAGGCAACCCCGATCAGGTTTTGGTGAGCTTTCTGGCTGGTCCAGTTGTCTATCCACGACGCATCTGGTTAGCATTCAGTGGTGAGACGAGTAGTCTTTAAATGGTGATACCTTTCAGCCTGTCTGGAACGGAATATCCCAGTCCCAAGTCGCCTATGAGGTCCCATTCCAACTTCTCCAGAAGACCAGTGAGATTAACGCATATGGGCACGCCAGGTTTGATGTTCAACCCGGCCACAAGCTCGTTGAATCGTCTCTCGTGGTGGGCCTCCATACCGCCCGCGACTGCGAGACGGATGGCTGGTTGAAACACTCTCCGCAACTCTTTCTGCTCTGCCGGGCTGTGATGGCTGACGAAGGTAACCCCCGGTGGACAGAGACCCTCCACAGCCGACTGGAAAGATCCATATGTGATGAAGGAAGTACTGTTTGTGTTGTAGATGGTGTCGTGGGCACTGAGGGAGCAGAAGGAAAGTTCACTTGGTCCGAGGCGTACGACATCGCCTTTATCCCCGGTTAGTTTATCCGAGCGATCGAAAGAGTTAGAAGAAAAGGGCATCGAGGGCTTACCATGCTTCTGGTGCTGCTCCCGTATGCCTTGATTGAGTTTGTTCGACCAAAGAACACGAATTAACCATGACTATATTTGTTAATTCTGACCTTGACAACGCTGCATAGGACCTGACTCACTGGGCATAGTTTGGCGAATCCAGGCCCGGGAACTTCAGCCAAAGCATCGGAATATACGTAGTACACGGCATAGGCAACGCAAAGACCCGATGCCTACAGCGAGACGACTCGTTAGTACAAAAACATCCATGAATGTGAGGAGGAAGAGAATCTTACCACAATCACAGCCTCCATAATGCCAGAGAACTGGAATCCAGTTATTACGGAAATTGGTCAGAAAGCACAAATTGCTTTCCTATCTCCATCCACTGGGCGATTCTGGCAATCGGTGCAGACCCTTTTTTTTTATCTCTCCATATCTATCGGAAGTAGGAAGGAGGAAGGGATGTGGCCAAGGGGGTGCGCACGCGGCCGACCAGAGTATACATGCACGGGCAAAGTTGATTCATTGGATCTCATCCACACCACATAGCAGGATTGTATCATGTAACGTTGGACCTGCGCTGAAAGATTTCTAAAACGAGAGCGAGTACGCATTGGCATACCACGTTGGAGCAAGGGATGGGGAAGCTTATGCGTTTGGGTGATTGTGATGAGCATGGAATGCACGGGATATTTGCTGGAGAAACGGCTTCATCCTGCTGCAATCTGGGAAGCTCGACGGGGGGTGGCTCGGAGGGCTTCGTGTGTTCAAAAGGCCCCGCGCAAGGTCAACCTGCCTGATCGATGCCTCCGTTGCAAAGCTGCATTTCTACTGGAATAAAGTTGGTAAAAGACGGGCTGGGAAGAATCCTAGGACTGCAAGGGGTACCTTATGATCATCGCGGAGGCGAAATTGTACCTGCGTTTCATCGTAGGGATGGGAGAAGGAGATGAGATGGCGCATCAAGGGATAAACCAAGCTGGGAGATCAATCTGCATTGTTATTACTCGGCATCGTGTGTTCAAACTCTCGTGAGATAGGTCCAGACATTGAACCGACAAGAGAGCTAGTCATTTGCTGTAGCATTTCCGAAATATTTTCTGGGCACGACTCGTGCACGCCTGCTGCCCTGGAGTGGCTAGCTGGTACCGGAAAGCAGTAAACTGAATAGTGGAGGATTCTTGAGGATCAACTGAGAAGTGTTCTCGCAACTTGCAAGATCTTCTTTCATCATTCGCATTGCGGTATTTGTTGGTTTGTTGCCTGACCATCAAACCCAATCGAGAGGTCTGTGAGCCCATGTCTCATTTCTATTTCCGAGCCCTGTCAGACATCCACATTCCTTCAATGGAGTGTAGAATTGCGCACAAGCTTGGGATCTTGCACGGGTCAAAGCATAAATCTTGGCGATGAAGGCAACTTCTCGAGAGGGAGGTTTAGAATTAGATTCCAAGTACTTGTCTCGCGATCCGAACGTATGACCGAACCGGACAGCATTGAGCTCAACAACATGATGATTTCGAAGGCCATGACGAGTGAAAAGAGCACAGAGAACGAGCTAATTCCCTGCGACAACAGACATCAAGAAAGGCACCACAGGGATATGTCGGATAACGTCGTCTTCAAAAACGTCGGTGTAGCGGTGGCCGACAACGCAGGCAAGACGTATCTCAAAAAGACAAGGAGTTTCCGCACAGGCTGCTGCTTTCGAATCAACCGCGCCGAGAGGACCCGCCACTTTGCATGACTGGCCTCCGTGTACCCCAGGAGCATTCAAGTCTGTGAACTGTCAAACAAACAAGAATGAAACTGTGATTATATAGCAGCACCAGCGATTCTTTGCTCGCGACCTTATCTCGTCGAACATCCTTATCCTCTAAGTAGAAGGAATTTCCGAGGTGTGATTCGAGTGAAAAGAGTGCTACCAGAGTACCTTCCACACTTCTTTTCCGTACAATGCTGGTAAGGTTGTCTTCTTTTCAGCGTGGAGGCAGGCCAGACAAAACAGACTATTGGTGGGGCGAATACGCCAGCCAAGGCCCGCAGACCGGTGGATCTGTGTTCGGCAGACTGACACATTCCCCTGCCAACCTCTTACTAGCTGTTTGGCAGGCTATTGATGTTCACGGATAGCGGATTGTGGAAGTGGGTTCATTGATCGCATGTACTCCAAATGCAGTAGCCGAGTCCGTTGGCGAACTACCATCTTGTGCCCATCCAGCATACCTGGTGATAGCATCATATATCCGGTTGAAGTACCGGCAGTCCGGCACTCGCATTGGTGGATATCTGCTCCGTACTGCAGCTGGTGCTGAAACAACCGAAACAGCAACTCCTCCTGTGGCTGGTGGACACACCAACTATGACCATGACATTTCGTACTTAACTATTAAAAACGCTTCGGTTACTCGGTAGATCACGAGCCAAGTACATTTTTCGACATGATGCATTGTGAGGGACTTCTGATGAGAGAGCAGGATGAAGGATCACATACTCGCCCCGCATTTTCTCCGCGACCCCGGAAATTTGTGTTCTGCAAAGTGCCGAGTGCAGCATGGAGACGTCGGCTGATTTGCAGGGATTATCGTGCTAGAAAGACACGACCAAGTGATGCATACAGATTCAATTAATCGGATCATTTGTGCTGGCGGCGTAGGATGGAGATTATCCAGGACAATGTCCGACCTTTCTCCTACCCAGCGACTTCTGACACGGAGCAGGGGAAAGGTGAAACTCAGCACCAGCAATAGTGTAAGCCCCGACTACCCACCCATCTTGACGACTGTGACGGGGCTAAAGAACCTAATGTGAATAGATCCTCCCACCGGAGCAGAAAACGGGCAAATGTTTTGCACAAATAGTTCATTTGTGCTCTGTGAACCGTCGGCCGTACCAGCGGTTGAATGAATTGCACGCATATATATAGGAAGACTGTTTCCTCTTACCATGCCTCTTTTCCCACCATTATTGAAATTGACTTGAGATCGTTCAGTAGCCATGTCTGCCTCAGCTTTCGTGGCTGTAGCGTCCTGCCTGGCAGCCTTAGTCCATGGCTATGCCAACCCGGGGTCGTGTTCGGGAGCTTGTAACGTTCATGATCCTGCCCTGATTCGAAGACAGTCCGACGGAAAGTACTTTCGATTCTCTACTGGCAATAAGATCTCCTATGCGTCATCCTCTTCCATTCAAGGTCCATGGACTGTGCTAGGCTCCGTATTGCCGAGTGGATCGTCGATCAACCTGGATGGAAAGGATGATCTTTGGGTTAGTAATTCTCAGTTGACTCCATCTGTTTTGTTTTCGCTCAGTCGAAATTCTCCGTCTGACGACTCCTGTTTTTCCTGCCTATAATGCAAGCCTACCCGACAGCTTGCTGCATCATCCATCTGGGTTGAAATCTGACTTGAACTGCGTAGGCACCTGATGTCTCCCTTGTCAACGGCGTCTATCATGTGTATTATTCAGTCTCAACCTTTGGGTCCCAATCCTCCGCCATCGGTCTCGCAACATCCTCAACCATGGACTTGAACTCATGGACCGACCATGGCTCGACAGGTATCCAGTCCAGCTCCTCAAAGCCATACAATGCGATTGATGCCAACCTCTTCAACGATGGAGGAACCTATTACATGAACTTTGGCTCCTTTTGGCATGACATCTATCAGGCACCGATGAACTCGGCCGCAACAGCCGCGGCGTCCTCGTCCTATAATATTGCCTATAACCCCTCTGGAACCCACGCCGTCGAAGGTGCATTCATGTATAAGTATGGCAGTTACTACTATCTCTTTTTCTCTGCCGGGATCTGCTGTGGCTATGACACGTCCAGGCCGGCATCCGGAGAAGAGTATAAGATCAAAGTCTGCCGGTCCACCTCAGCGACTGGTAATTTTGTAAGTAATCGCAGAAAGAGACCTCGAATGTTGTAAAGCTGATATTCTCTTAGGTTGACGCTAGCGGTGTCGCTTGCACGAATGGTGGCGGCACGGTTGTCCTCGAAAGTCACGGAACTGTATACGGACCTGGTGGACAGTATGTCTCTCATCCACATCGCTCCATCAGTAAAAAAGTTTTGAAGTGCTGATTCTTCACAGGGGTGTCTTCACGGACCCAAGCCTTGGCCCTATCCTTTACTACCACTATGTCGATACCACGATTGGCTATGCAGATGGCCAGAAGCTTTTTGGATGGAATAAGATTGATTTCTCTAGCGGATGGCCAGTTGTATGAGCAAGCCGATTCTTTTGTGGGCCAATCGCTCCTATCGCTTGAAGTGTAAATGGACAGGCTTCGTGGTTCAAACTTGAAGTATTCGAGAGTCATTTATCAAGAAACATTATCCCCTGTCATATATCAAATGGAGGAGTGCATGTACGGATGACCAAGTAATGTAGAAGTAATGCGGATGAAATCTGCCGCTCAGTGGAAAGAAATTGCTTCGAGCAGGTGCAGAGGGAAGAGGACGCGGTTGGACTGCCTGAGGCCGTCTGTATTCTGCCCTCTTCACGTCCAATTCATACTGCCAGAATCTACCAGTCTCAAGTACGGCCACTTTGAACATCGAAGAAATCCTCGTCCCAATCTCATGCACTTGAGGCTTGAGCAATACATCCAAAAGCAATTCTAGCCATGCCAGCCCATATTGTTATCCTGAAACGAAGTTTAGGGCCGTACTCCCGTGCCATCGCCACTCCTGGTGAGTACGATGGCGTGTACACACCATCCTTTCTGGCTGTTTACTGAGGTGCGCATATCCTCGTTTCCACCAATTATTTTCAAAGACATCTGCTTACTTGGGAATTGCGGTGCGTTAGATCGATGCTCGTAAGCTCAAATTTGGGACAAGAACGCAATTTTTGTATATCGACTATTCTTCTTCCAAGATGCCGATGGCCAGGACTTTTCCACCAATCTCGACTGGTCGTGATGCTGATGCTAATTCTCGACGTTCAGAATGAAGTACTCGAAGCGGATTCCGTCGTTTTATGTGAACTGTCACCCGCGAA